TGCTGGTCTACTCTCAGCTTGCGCTCGTTGTGCTATATACACATCCAACCCCACACTTGGTCTAGATGCTGGCTCGACTGTTTCTTGATATCAATGTTTGAAAGCGTGCCGAGTAAGCGTTTACTCGTCCTTCTTGTGGTAGTTGACCTTGTCGTTCCAGAAGAGGGTCTATTTGCATGTCAGTACATATATATGTCATCCTGTGCCAAGGACATGTTACCTTGTCACCGTCTCCCCAGAAGTAGTTCTTGGTACGGATGTTCTGGTACGCGTACTCGGGCCTCTCTGCGCGAGGGTTCTCGTGCTCCTCGTGGGCTACGTGCTCCCAGTGAGCATCCCACCTGACCTTGGCGTTGACACTGGCGACGATGATGCAGGGGATGGCAACGCTATCGTAGAATTAGCATGTTTCCTTGCTCCATCAATTTCTCGTTTCAAGGGGTAATTCCAATGGCGTGGTCTTCCCGCGTGTCTCCCTTCGTCCACAATCCTCCGTCTCTCCCACGTTCCCCCCTCCTCTGAGTCCACACCCGCCTCAAGTAATCGTGTACTTACTAGAGCGACAACTTGCGCCAGAACTCGCCAGACTCGGCAGCGTGCTGAGCAATGTGGGCACGCTCGCGGTTGAACTCGTTGTCCTCGGCTCCGGCAAACTGCTTGGGGCTCTCGGAGCTGTAGTTGCGGCGGCCGGCGCGGGCAGGGGCGCGGGCGAGAGCCTGACGAGGCGCGGCACGGGCGAAGGATCGAGCGGCGAACATGGCGACGATTGTCCGGCGTGGTAGAGTGGAGATGGGGTGCAATTGGTGTTGGCGTGAGGTGTGACGGAGGGAGCTCGAATTGACGAAACAGAGGCTTGGCGGATGGGCTGATGCGGAGTTTCCCGATTGCTGTGTTAGCGTGGGCGAGCTCGGTTGCCGGGTAATGTGACGTCGTGTCGGTCGCGCGAAGTCGCGTTCTGTGGCTTGCATGCCCCGATGGGATTCCGTGTGAGTTGAGATTGTGAAGTGATGACGGTCTTCGTTTACATTCGTTGTCGCCCTCCATAGAAATACACGCCACCATGGTTCGCATCACCACCTGGAATGTCAACGGCATTCGCAATCCCTTTGGCTACAAGCCATGGAGTACGAACCGGACATTCAATGCCATGTTCGATATCCTGGAGACGGACATCGTCATCATGCAAGAGCTGAAGATCCAGCGCAAAGATCTGACAGATGACATGGTGCTTGTACCCGGCTGGGACTGTTATTTCAGTCTGCCAAAGCACAAAAAGGGTACTTCCCCATACTACGAGACGCTCGCGCTGCGACCTCCTGCTAACGCGAGTGAGGATACTCGGGCGTTGGTATCTACACGCGCCAGTCCGTATGTGCGCCTGTACGCGCAGAAGAAGGCGTCCTAGGCGCCCTCTGCCCTCCTGGCTCGACGACGTCGTACCGCGACCTCCCAGAATCTGCCAGCATTGGCGGCTACCTCAGCTCATCACAACTCGCCTGCCTCCCTCCCGATCTCGACGCTGATAGTCTCGATTCAGAAGGACGGTGCCTGGTGCTCGAGTTTCCAGCCTTTGTCCTTTTCGGCGTCTATAGTCCAGCGAACAGCAATGGCCTACGAGACGGCTTCCGAATCGGCTTCCTTACAGCGCTAGAGACACGAATACGGAACTTGACGAAGATGGGCAAGAACGTGATACTCACGGGCGATCTCAACGTCTCCAGAGATCTTATCGATACCGCTAGAGCACAGGATAACATGCTGGCAGAGGGAATGACGCATGAGGAATATCTGAGTACGCCGAATCGTCGAATCTTCAATCAGCTGTTGCTAAATGGAGTGGTGCCGGGCCAGCGAGATGAGGGGCGGGAAGAGCCAGTACTATATGATCTATGTCGAGAATTCCACCCCGACCGTGAAGGCATGTTTACCCACTGGGAGCAGAAAATCAATGCTAGACCAGGCAATTTTGGGTCGCGCATCGACTTCATATTGTGCAGTATCGCCATCAAGGACTGGTTCAAGGAGGCGAACATCCAGGAGGGACTCATGGGGTCGGATCATTGCCCGGTGTACGCTGTCACAAAAGACGTGGTGCCAGTGTCACTCGGACCAACAACAGGAGAGGAAGAGGTTAAGGAAGAGGTTCATATCTTGGACTTGATGAATCCAGCAGGCATGTTTAAAGATGGTGTACGACAACGAGAGTACGATGCGGTCAATGACGTTCCACCTCTCAGCGGAAAGCTACTAGCTGAGTTTACGAAGAGAAGGAATATCCGAGACATGTTCAGCAAAAAGCCCGCTTTACCGAAATCTACGCCAGCACCGACGCCGACGGCTGTCGACAAGGAAAGTCCACCAAAGACGGATGTTACGTCGTTCACTAGTACGACCGTCGATGAATCGGACAGAGACCTGGAACTAGCGATCGCAGCCTCTATGGCAGACATGTCCTCGTCAGTCAACGGCAACCCCATATCAAGCCAGAGCCCGCTCAAATCGGCTGAAAAGCGACGCGCTTCAGCATCCGCATCACCCAAGAAGCCAATCAAGAGAGGCAAATCCAGTGCCCCAGCCACTACTACCAAAGTTTCTAAGGGCCAGCAGTCGCTGAAGGGCTTCTTCCAACCGCAGAGTAAACCTACAGATGCAGAGCCACCCAAAGACTCATTAGCACCTGCCTCTCCGGCTGCAACTAACGATGCACCTAGCCAATCCAGCACGGAAATGCCTCCTCCCCAATCGCCCATACTCTCTGACTCCTTTGACGCCGACCCGCGCGCCTCCCAAGAAGCGTCAAAGGAAGATTGGACAAAACTCTTCTCTAAGAAACCGGTACCGCGGTGCGAACACGGTGAACCTTGCATCTCGATGACGACAAAGAAACCTGGTATGAATCGTGGAAGGCAATTTTGGATGTGCCCTAGACCAATTGGGCCGACAGGGCACAAGGAGGTGGGTACGCAGTGGCGGTGTGGCACGTTCATATGGTGTAGTGATTGGAAGGGTAGCTGATGTCGAGAATGATACATGGACATGAAGGATAAACACTTAAATTTGAGATATGTTGGCATGCGGGTCACGGGAATTCCTGCCAGGAGGGCGGTACGAGAACCCTAAGGGCACTCGCAAGGGCCGGAGGTCGCTGTGAGAAGGACAGGCAGAGCCGGAGACACATTGAGGCATCGCGGATATGGTGTAAAGATGGGTATGAGGGTCACGTGGAGGGCGAATATAAATAGGCTGGAAGTCAGACGGCAGCTCATTATGTCGTATCAAGGAATTATACATGAATATAGGAAATAGGAAGAACATTTTCAGCTGCGCATACTCCACTTTGGTCCATGTTTTCGTCTCCTCGCATATATGCATTCCACCTGGATACAATAAAACTAGAAATGTTGCGATGTGAACTGTATTGTCCGGTCCTGGGTGGTATTAGGTGGGCGTAGGGATATGGACATATATCGCCATAATGCTTCACCAACACTAATACTACATGGAAATGCTCGAGTTAGTGAGATATACTTGCTGAGATTATCATTGAGAGACGCCAGAAGCGTTACCGCCATATTGAGGATGATGCGTTACCTGACACAGAAAACATTCTATTTCAATTGTCATCTTGCTAAATGTTTTCGAGCGCTCGCAAATCCTTTTTGATGTCTTTCAAATCATCTTGAGAAACGCTTGCCAGGCTTGACACAATGTTGCGCTGACAATTCTCTGGTCAGCGAACGAACCCCCTTTCTGAGCACCCAACCTAACACCAAACTATGTTGTATGATCCATAGGTCTCATAAGACTACCTCAGATTTTCAGAGTATCTGTTAGTACCTTACGAGCGATTCACGCGTGTATCTGCGCACAGAGATGCTGCTCAACATACCTAGGTATGCGTCGCCTCTGGCAAGTAGCGAGACTATTCAAGGACCCGAGACACCAATGTGCGACCACGAACCACTCGGTGTCAAGATTCACAACCACGGAGAGAGAGATATGTAGTCTCTTTGCATCTAACAAATGCCTCGGTCTCACGAAGGGTTATTTCGGAATAATCTCAGTGGCAGGGTCAAAAACTCTCCTTGCTTAAACGCCACCGCCATGCAAGCCTATCACATCCTTCCATGCAGCCACAGACGTTACCATCACATATCACATAGACCTCCTTACATTTCAACACATGTTCAAGTGATCAAGTAGATCAAAGCAAGTAAGCGAGTCACACCACATCACATCACGTCACGTCATGATCAAGCAAGGGCAAGCAGGTGAGGGGAAGGTTGTGAATTTTATCTAGTTTCCATTTGTCTCTTTGAGAGTGATATGTTTGCCGGTTACCAGGCACTTGCGCTGCATAACCGACTGCTATCTAAAGTACATCGTTTGACGAAATATACGTCCAAGGGGGTATCTAAAAAGTTTTCATGGGAAAGGAAATCGTGACCATCAACCACATTGAGGTCTTGGGTGGAACAATCATACGCTCCATGCCCGTTTCTCCATCATCAAGACTCATAAGTCTCTTCTCGTAGTATGGTGCAGCCGTGTGCTCAATGCGGGGTAGTATGGGTCGTGAGTCGTGATCGTGAACGGGGTAAGGGGGAAGATACGCTTGATAGTGGATGCTGCTTGGTAGCCTCTTGTTGAGACTCTAGCTGCATCTACCATAAGTGATAATGACGAAAGCCAACTACGAAAACCGGAACGATGATTCGAAGTGGCGCACAATGTGAACTTTTGATGGGTGTAAGCCGCTGGAAGGAGAGCGATCATGGCAAAGCAAGGGCGTTGCCAACAGCGTTACCGATGAAAACGCAAGGTGGCGATGGTCCGCGTCGAGAACATCGAAGCATGAGAGAACGCAAGGGAAGGACATGCAAGAGTGACATGGTGTGGGGTTCTCCGGTCTCTTATAACGAGCATGAATATTCGACCGAGGACGTGTATGCTTTTGATGCCTAGCCTGTGAAGACGAAGCTTGGGTGCTTGAGACATTTCTAGTAGGTGTCCTGGAAGAAGGCAGGCAGAATGGCATTGCCGTCTGCGCCGTCGCGGAAGGCAAAAGCCTCATCATCAAGCAGCGCAAAATTTGCGTTCATGTCGAAATCCATGCCGAACTCCTCGTCAAGGCGACCGTGACGGAAAGACTCTGAGTCGTAGGTGAAGTCCGCAGATGTTGAGTCTTGGGCGAACATATCAAATACGTTTGCCGGCTCGAAGAGCTGAGCAAGGTCGTCAGTGAAGGCGTTGCCAACATCGGCAGCGATGTCCTCGACGGGAAGCGCAGGTTCATAGGTCGAGCTAGGCGATGTCGACGGAATGTTGGGGGTGAGTTGGAAATTGAGAACCTCCGGAACAGTTGCAGCCGCTGATGCACGCTTAGATTTGCGCGACTGACGTTTCTTTTTCTCGCCAGGTTTCCTGGGAGTGTACTTGTAGTCGGGGTGCTGGCGGAGGTGCTCTTCTTTCGCCGACTGTGCAGCAGCCTGCCAGGGCTTTTTGCCTTCTGGGGTCAGGCTGCGCCAAATTTCGGAGCAGCGTGTAGCTATGACATTATCAGTACACTTTGTCAGAGGCAGATAGTAGGTTGTATGCTTACAGATCTCCTGAACAGTGAGATTCGGAAACTGAGCCTTCAGCTGCTTGTGCATCGCATCTCGAAAGATGATCCAGCAGTTCATCGGTCGAGGAGCCTTCTTGAAGGCAGCAGTAAGGGTGGCTATGTCGATCGCAGTACGGTCAGAACCCGGTGTCTGTACAGACAGATCGTTGAATTGCACTTGAGGTGAGTGTCCGGTGTTTTTTGGCATCTTTACAAGAGTGTGTGAGCTATTGGCGCTCTCCATAGGAGTGAGATCGATCGGCAGTCCTGCCTTCTCGGCCAGTGCCTTCTTGAAGAGCTCGACAACCCCGTTTCCGAAGAGGGTGGGGAGGTTATCAGGAAGTATAACCATGTTCTCGCCACGGGTCCAGCCGTCAGTGCAAGTGAGAAGAGCTGTGTCGAAGCGATCTACCACATCGATGACGATCTGGGGCTCTTCGCGAATGGCAGCGAGAGTGCGGTAGATCTCTGCGTTCATGGTGCTAGGAAATTGACGTATGAGCTATTGAGGGAAGATAGAAGGAAGACAATAGAGCAACTGCAGAATAAGAAAGTTAGAATAGTGGAGGTTGGTGGTAATTCGACGAGAAGGTGAGAGCAGAGACTTTGTTTGTGGCGGCGCCAAGGCTGAGAAGGCAGCGAGTCTGCGCCTTTCAAACGGTCAGTGCATTCATAAACGATACCAATTCATCGCTCACCTAATGGGGCAGCTTCAGTCCCCTTCACTTAGCCACCAATACAGGGTGGGGTTGTCTTATTGCCTTTTGATCTCGGTACGGACAAACGCTACAGTACAGATGAATGAGCAAGCAACTTTTGCATGTTGAGCATTACAAGGGCTTCTGTCTGAATGGCATGCAATGTTGCGGGTGGATTTGAGGATGTGAAATCGAGAACAGGTCTGGGGAGCGGTCTACTTTTGGTTGCCCATGGGATAATCTGAGACAAAGGAGACAGCCTCAAGCCACGCACGAAATAGTGCTAAGACATATAAGATAAATTCATCTGATTTGATGGAAGATGTGCACTAACCGAGTGATGAACGAACACGGCTGCCCCTTGCATACGCAACCCGAGTCTTGGTACACCGGATGTGTTTCTCATCCTTTAAACTGCGCAAGTACCATGAAAGATAAAAAGCAATATCCGAAAAATATGCTTCATGTCTGGAGAATATTCAGACCTTTTTTTTGGTATTGAGCGCTACCGACCCAGATGGAATCGACCAAATACACACAACCTCTTATTTTCTGTGTCCAGAACAAGACTCGTGGTGGCGATCATGATGACACGCCGTTGGGCCTAGAATCTTGCGTGTTATCTGAGAGACTCCAATCTCTGACTTGGCCTTTCCAATCTGCGATGCGTCCGTCACGAACCTTGACCACGACAACCCTGACCTCTCCTCCTTCGACATAGCACTTGGTGCCTCCGTCACCCTCTCTTAAAGTTTCATCTGCTGCAGCTGTTTGCGAGCCTAACCCACCACCACCCCACAGTCCCTCTCCAACGGGAGAACTTGAGTACGTGTCCTCACTACCCTGACTGAAAGTATTGTTGGCTAGGTGCTGGGCTTTGTACCATGTCTCTTCTTCAGAACCAGAAGGTACAAGCTCAGCAATTCCATTGATGGTGGCACTTATACGACTTAGGGACGCAGTGTTCATGCCAAGGAGGAGCTCGGCTAATGATCCAGAACGTGGCGCAGGACCCGATGGTGAGGGTGAACGACCTGACTGGTTTAACGTTGGAGGCCGATGAGATATCCAATCGTGTACCAGAAGAGAAACAACGGCATTCGCCTCGAGATTTTGTGTCTTGCGGGACGTTTTAGGTGTTGTCATGATAATGATGGGAGTTTGAGAATAAGGGGTATTAGGTAGGTAGGTATAATTCATCAACGAGACATGAGGAATGTTGTCCGAACATGTTGCAAGATGGAGCTGTCCAAGTCTGTTAGAACTGGGCACGTACGTATAGGAGACGCCAGGGATGCGTCGTGAAGATGAAGCACGTGCTTGCATAGCGGATATGACAAACAAGACTTGATTGCATAGGTCTCAGAGGAATGAAACAGGCAAACGGAGAAAAGTAGCAGTATGCAGAGATGAGACATGGCGTTGAAAGTAATTTCCAAGATGGAAACATGAAGATGAGATGAATGTCTTTGGAGAGGACTCACAAAGCGGGCGTTCTGGAGGCAGGTAACCACCTCATCTGGCAAGCCGTTCGACATTGCGAAGGTGAGCAATGGTTGGACGACAGTGGTAAATGAAGAAAAGGGCGCTGCCAGAGGTCGACAGTGCTGCAGTGCTTGATGGGTCGCGTGTAGATGGTAGGCAGAACTTGACGGCGGGAAGGATGACGTTGCATGCTTGCCCCGTGCAGCATCTCCACCGAACCACCCGGCATTGCGCAGTCCGACCACAACACGACTGACTACGTAGACAACGGCCACTACGATATCTACGCCTACAATGGCTGCCCCGCCCACAATTCCGCCTATGGAAAGCACCGATAGCTTCAACCCCGATCTAAACAACGCATCGTCCCCTACCCAGGACGGTGCCCAACATTCGCCCATTGAAGATGCAACTCCCGCATCGCCCGAACAACGGACTGCGCCTCACGATGCGCAAACGCAGCAGCGCGTCCACGATATCCTGCACTCTGATGTGGGCGTTTCGACCCTTCTCAACCGCCTAAAGGCTAGCATCGCGAGCGCCAGAGTCAGTGACGGCCTAATCGACTCGACTGCACTCGGATGCGCTAACACGCCCGGCAGGACTTCGCGAGCTTCCTCAAGCGCCGAGGAGCCTTAGAAGAGGAGCATGCCGGCAGCCTCAAGAAGTTGAGCCGCTTGACCCTCGATGGTGTACGAAAGCCCGATACGCGGCACGAGAGCTATCAGACGCAGTTCGAGCAGGTTCTCCACGCGAACGAGCGCATCGCCGACAATGGCACCCAGTTCGGCCTTGCTCTGCACGCCATGCATGAGAATCTGCTGCAACTAGCCAACAAGATGGATACGAGCCGCAAGACGTGGAAGCAGCAGGGTCTCTCCGCAGAGAACAAGGTGCAAGACGCCGAACGGCTGGCCGAGAAGGCCAAGGCCAAGTACGACCAGCTCGCTGAAGACCTTGATCGCGTCAAGACAGGCGATACTGGCGCAGGCAGAAAGTTTGGCTTGAAAGGACCCAAGTCGGCCGCTCAGCACGAGGAGGACCTGCAGCGCAAGACACAGGCGGCAGACCAGGACTATGCCAGCAAGGTGCAGACGGCCCAGGTTTCTCGTAAAGAGCTCGTCGCGACTCTGCGTCCCCAGGCCGTCACTGCACTGCTGGATCTTATCAAGGAAACCGATGCCGCGCTCACAATGGAGATGCAGAAATACGGTAAGTCTGTTGTACCCCTACGTAAATCGTCACTAACACTGCGGCAGCCTCGTTCAACGAAAAGCTCGTCGTCAACAACGGCCAGGTTGTCAGCCCACAGCCGCTGAAAGGCTCAACCGCTCAAACTCCACCCAGCATCAACCAGTTAATCTACCAGATCAACAGCGAGCGGGACTTTGACGAGTACATCTTGAGCCATGCATCTAAAGCACCTATGGCCAGATCGGAGCTACAGTATGTGAAGCACCCAACACAGGCGGCGACACGGTCACATCCAACACCACCAGCGGCTTCAATTGGTAACCGTCGTGCCTCTATGCAGCAGCTGCAGAGTCAGCCGCCGCCCTCATTCTCCATGCCACAACCGGACGCGAATCCTCTGTCGCCCCAGGGCCCTCCTCCTCATGAGCCATTACAGCAACCCTCATTTGGAACTACCTCACAGCCGCCGTCTTCGTCACTGCAAACGCAACCATCGCAGCCCCCAATACCACACTTCACTAGCTCGCCCTACTCACCTGTCACGCAGAACCCATACTCCCAGCCAGACTATCCTCGTGGACCCGTTGGCCAGGCTACCGCACAGCAAATCAGTGGCGTTCTCTACAATAATGCTCAACCCCCAGTGAATCCTGTCTTTGGCGTGACTTTGGAAGACCTTTTCCACCGAGATGGCTCCCCTGTACCCATGGTGGTTTACCAGTGTATACAGGCCGTGGATCTATACGGATTAGAGGTAGAGGGTATCTATCGTATCCCTGGGACTTCGTCACACATTCAGCAGATGAAAGCTCTTTTCGATAGTGGTACGTTATGGTGAAGATCTATTGGCGATTTTAACTAATGCTGTGCAGATGCTTCCCAGGTGGATTTCCGTAACCCAGAAGCGTTCCAACATGACGTGAACAGTGTGGCTGGATTGCTGAAACAATTCTTCCGCGAGCTTCCTGACCCATTGCTTACTCGCGAATTCTACGGCAAGTATATCGATGCTGCACGTATCGATGACGAGACCATGCGCCGAGACTCCATGCATGCGTTGATCAATGCCTTGCCTGATCCGAACTATGCGACGCTTCGTGCCCTGGTTCTGCATTTACATCGTGTGCAGCAATCTTCTGAAGTTAATCGTATGAGCACTGCAAACTTGGGCATCTGCTGGGCGTAAGTTGTCGCCCATCGAGATTTACGTGCATCAACTGACGTTATCTAGGCCATCCATAATGGGACCTCACAAAGGCAACAACATGGCCGACGCCGGCCTCCAAGCCCGCGTTATCATAACTATTCTGGACAACGTACTCCAGATATTCGACGAGGATTAAACATTCATGTTCCCAGGGACACAAGTTTTTTTCTGCCACGATGCCTTGGTACCTATCACATTCTCATTCAATCTCGAGGTGTGCAGTGCGTAGCATATTGTGGTCTTTATCTTTGCGGGACGGTTATCGTATTCATAAGTGGCATTCCACATACGGTCGTAGTAGAGCATGGGTATGTCAAAGACGACGTGGTAAGAGAATATGGCGGTTGCTGTAATTCTGGAAGCATTGGCTGTGGCGAGTACGATTGTTATGATTGGAAGTAAGATGCAACGACTCTCGTGCTGAGTTCGTGCACACATCTTTGACCTTTAGAGCTATATGAATTGACTGTAAAAGAAAGTTCAAGACTCGGGACTTGAATTGCATGACCAAAGTTAGTGGTAGCAGCCGTGATGCTTTGCAGTAACCTGTTAAGGCACCGTGTTTGTAGGTATGAATCGTCTTGGGTACTGTAGTGGGGAAAGCTTGCAGTGTGGGTCGCGCTTACCCCAGAGCCCCATCTACACAGCGGCACGCTAGCGGCTTGACAGGGAGAGCTGCAGTTGATTGAGGGGAAGCTTCCAAGCCACCCACCCAGACCGAGCCAAACACGACCCTCACCACCATTACTCCGCTCTGCACACGCTGTCAGAAGCAATACTCAAGTTGACCTCGGCCCCGAGCTCGAATTCTGACACCACCATCATGCTCACACGTCGTGTTTGTGCCAGCGTGCGCGGCGGCATCCTCTCCCCGCTATGTGCCACAGCTGTCCG